CACTTAAGATTTCCCGTTTCATCTTGGGTCGATCTGGTCTTTTAAAAGCCATCTGTGCGTTTTTTCTATGTTGGCGCATCCGTTCACGTAATGCTTATTTATAACATGTCCTTGTTGACCCTGCCCGGGGTGGAGGCCCTGCAGGAATAACAGCTCTTTCGTTCCCAATGACGGCCGTTCGGTTGTGTTTTCACCGCAATGATGTTATTGATCCCCCCGCGAGCGAGCCTGCGACAGTTAGGGTTTCCCCGGCCGAGCTGCTAACCTCGGAGCAGATCGGGGTCTCTGGGCCCCGCAACCTCATTCGTTGGAGTGGGTGTGGCTGCAGTTGAGAGTCCTTGAGGCCCGGCAGTTTGGTCTCCACTCAAGTTCATGCTCAGCCCCGCCCAGTCCTGCCAGACCTGTTTCTCAAGCAGCGAGAGCTGCTCTGCTCTCTCTTCCCAGCACCCTCCCACCTACTGCTGCCCCTTATCTGTCCTCGCGCTCCCACACCCCTCTCAGTCCGCATCTCTGTCTCTGCTGTGCCCAGCCCCCGGGAGCTGCCAACCTTGGTGTTGGCTCCTATGGGTGTATCCTATATGATTGGGTGAGCTGCATTTTTCCCATTGCAATGTGACCCCCTTCTGGCAGTGATGTGTCTATTCACTTGCCTGTGCCGGCACCACCCTGGGGGGCCGGCAGGAGAGCCCTGGTTGGCCAAGTTCTCTCTCCTCAAAGTCCAAGTTCCTCAGTGAAACATCTTTTATCTTGTCAGGCTAGTTTCTGGTTTCTGGTTTTGCAATCAAGAGTAAAACTGTTGCATTATCATTAGCAACATGACCTTTTTTATGTATTTCCTAGAGGCCCAGTGCACGAAATTCATGCACGGGTAGGGTCCCTAGCAGCTACTGGCTGGGGCCTCCCTTTCCCTGGCTGCCCCGTCACCGAAACCTGCCATGTTCTGTGCCGCCCCCTGGTGGTCAGTACATGTGTAACTCCTGATCAGTCGAACTCCCACCTATAGAGACAATTTGCATATTAGCCTTTTATTATATAGGATTATTTGTTAATTCTCACCCAAGGATGTTTTTCAGTGATTTTTAGAGAGAATAGAAGGGAGGGGGGAAGGGGAGAGAGAGAGAGAGAACATCCATTGGTTGCCTCCCGCATGCACCCTGACCTGCGCTGGGATTGAGCCTGCAACCCTGGAACATGCCCTTGACTGGGAATTGAACCTGAGACCCTTCGGTCTGAGGGCCGACAGTCCAACCACTGAGCCAAACTGGCCAGGGCAGCACCAAGAACCTTTGCTAGAGCGATGAACAGCACATGAGCTCCACGGGGCAGACATGTTGTTTATGGTGCTCACTGCTGTGACTTCGGTGACTAGACTGGTGCCTAGCCCAGGGTCGATGCTATAAAAGTGCATGCTGGGTAAATGAAGAAAGACATATTATTGGGTGCTTCCTGTATGCTGAGCTCCAAGATAAAAATTTTTAGTGTCTTCTCTCGTAGCTCTCATGACAATCCAGTGAAAGGGGTCGCAGATCCTTGCTTTGCAGATGGGGAAACTGAGGATGGAGAGTTAGGTGACTTGTCAGTCACAGTGTTTATAATAAGTGGTCAAGCTGGGCTCAAGTCCACGTCCGGCACAAAGAGCGTTCTCTTAGCCTCTGAGCGGTAATGCCGCTCTCAGTGAGGGAGGCAGGTGTGAGCTGCTGCCTGCCCGGAGGCCCAGGGGCCCCGCTGCTCCTTTCACTCATTGAGGTTAGCGCACTGGGATGTGGTGGCACCCTGGGCCCAGGCCCAACCCCAGGCTGCTCCGCCCGCTTTCTAAAGCTTCAGAGCTGCTGTCAGGTTCTCCTTTCTCCCTTTCACACCTGTGCAGGGATCGCTAATATTGCAGACTCTCAGCGTGAGGCTCACTGACCCGGTGACCTGGGCAGGCTGCAGAAAGAGGCTCAGCTTCCTCATCTGTAAAATGGGTTCATCGCAGTGCCCGCCGCGTAAGGCCCATCGTAACACAGACTCACATCCGACGTCCGTCTCACAATGACCCAGTGATAGTGACCAGACTCAGAGCCTGGGGATTGTTTGTCATGTGCCCTGACTGGAATCGAACCACAGACCCTTCAGTCCGCAGGCCAACACTCTATCCACTGAGCCACACCAGCCAGGATGACACATCTCTGAAGTAACGGCTGTGGGCTGTGTAAACTTTGTTTTGACTTGTCAAAGGAGCCTCGGATATAAACGTCAAAGTGGCGACTTCTGTCCCTGCTAAGGAGAGACGCCGAGGCGGACAGCCCGCCCCTCCCCCGGGGGGACCCCCGGACATTCTGGTGACGTCATCACAGGGGGTAGAAGGCCTGGAGGTTCTTCAGCTCAGGCCGAGGAGGAGCCTGACTCATTCTGAGGGCGGCGACCGTGTCAGGCGGCCAGTTTCTCGCTGAGCTGAGCGCATCCTGCAGGGAAAGGCCTTTGGAAGGAGGTAGAGGTTTCAGAAGCCCCATGTGTGGGACACACCGCTGAGGGGGGGGGGCACGCTGTCTTCTCCCCGCAGGTGGGACTCTTATCGAAAGAGAAACACATCTTCGTTCAGCCAGCGCTGGGCCCGGGTCCGCAGGGCAGGCGCTGTGCGGCGGAGGGGGCGCTGACGAGGGCATCTCCCAAAGCCTCGCTCAAGGTGGGGGGTGACTCGGGAGCAGAGAATGACAGGACGTCAGGAAGGACGGAGGGAGCGATGCAGCTGGGAGAGCAGGGAGCTTACAAACTCAGCGGCGCTGCTGGCCGCCCCGGTGATCCGTCCGCACTGGGCGCTGACCTAGGCGCTGCCGATGCCACTGGGCGGCTGTCTGCAGGGTCAGCTCCGGGCTGGGCGCGGGACCCTGTGGTCCGGTGCCCTGGCCTGTGCTCGGCCCAGCGTGCTCCGCGGTCCTCGGCGTCGGCTGGGTCTCCCTGCCTCTCTGCTTCCCCAGGCTGCCTCCTCCTTTCCCTCGGACCTCCGCGTGGGCTGCACCTCCTCCCCGCCCACGTCCACGGGTGCTAAATCCACGCCATCCTGCGAGGCCCTTTCCAGTGTCCCCTTCCCACCCCCTCCGGGGTCCCTTGGCTGGCAGGTCCCTCTGTGGCTGGCGGGTGGCCAAGCTGTGAC